TACCCCAAGTGGAAAATAAAGAACTGTTTTCCTATTTGTGCTGAGAGGCATCTCTAAAATTCGATATTCATATACACATAAATTGCTGACTCCTTACAGCCTATGTTAAAGAATATCTGAACACGAGTTTGCTTCCATATAGAAAATGATGTTTGTGCCACAGAAATCTGTGTGTCTTTTCTCAGCAGTAAGATGTCTCATGCTGTACAAGTTCAGAAGATACGGTAGATGTCACCTGTCACCTAGCAACAAGCTCCCTGCTTTGTGTCTTCAGCATCTCTTTTCATTTTAAGTCAAAATAGCTATGAAAACGTAGCACTTAGATTTGCATTTATCTCTAGAAATATTTAGATTAACCTTCAAATATTTTTAGTTCCCAAGATAACTCACTGCAGCAGATAAAACAGAAATAACTTTATTTTTTTTTTTTAATTTTTTTTTTCAACGTTTATTTATCTTTGGGACAGAGAGAGACAGAGCATGAACGGGGGAGGGGCAGAGAGAGAGGGAGACACAGAATCTGAAGCAGGCTCCAGGCTCCGAGCCATCAGCCCAGAGCCCGACGCGGGGCTCGAACTCACGGACCACGAGATCGTGACTTGGCCAAAGTCGGACGCCTAACCGACTGCGCCACCCAGGCGCCCCAAAACAGAAATAACTTTAAATGAAAAAAGGCAACTTATATATCAAAAACCTTGATGCACAGGAAGGCCAGGATGGATCGGTTACGTAATACCTTCAACTTAAATGCACCAAGCCTGCCTGTCGGGTTCCCTAATCGGCTTTAAAAGTTATGTGAATATGTATATAAACCTTATTACTTGACTTTTTTTTTTTTTTTTTTAATCAGCCCTTGAAAACACAAGATCACAGCTAATGAAGCAGTGATTTGTAAAACTGAATCTAGAAGACTGAATTCCAGATGGGATCGCAGTACCATTACCAGAATTCAATTTGCTTGAAACAGAGCAACTAAATTACCTTGGGGCAGAAAGTGAAATACCCTGACAAGTCAGGCATCCATAAACACCTTCGAAACTTGTTTCTCTGTCTCTATTTAAAGATACGTAAAGGGATTTTCAGAGGAACTAGCAACAAGTGTACTTATGGGTCCTGAAGTATTTAGAATGTATTAAACACTAACCTTTTAAGATTGAGAACCTAATAGATCATTTAAGATGTGATGAAGGGCTCGTGGCCTGTTACTACTGGGTAATATAATGCCTGTACCCGGAGGTCATTATTCTGAAGTGTAACTCCTTTTCCATTAAGTTGGGTCGCATCCACTTTCATTCTGGCCGTTTCTGTTGTCCAGGGTCTTTCCTTTGAGTTACAAAGGAAGCTTAGAATTCCTTTTAGGAAATTTTAGGGGAGAAAACAAGAGTTAGAAAGTAACAATTTAGAAAATCATTCTCTTTTGCTACAGTTCCTCCAGACTCATCATTCATAGATGAATATTTACTAATACTATAGGCAGCAGTATTTGTTTTTAAAAGCAAATCTAAACTTTTTTTCCAAAATGTAATATTCTGTGTCTTTTCTTCTTTCTCATGTTTTTTTTTTTTTGTTTTTTTTTGGTTTTTTTTGTTTTTTTTTTTTTGTTTTTTTTTTTTTTGGTACTGAAGTAAGTTACCAGCTCTTTTCTGCTTCTTCACCCGACAATGGAGAATCATTTTTGAAGCTAGGAAAGTAAGGACCGAAACCATGTGTGATGAATTTTTGATGAGGACAGTGGCCTTTAAGACTTCTGTGCTTTGAGAAGACTTACTGGATATATTTACAAACCTATTTGGAAGAGTTAAAGTGATCTTTTAGTTGGGAAATTGATGAGATATTAACTGTTGTTGGAAATGTGCCATTTCCCCATTTTATATCATGGCTGGATTTTGAAGGGGTTTGGAGAACAACCCAAAGGCGCCTGAGCATGAGTAAAAGAGAGAGTCATCTGTCTATTTCGTGGCCTCAATTTTGGGAAATCCTGTTGTTTTCTTGTTCAGTATCTGGGCCATTGATTGAAGAGCGGTATTTCTTACATGGATGACAACACAGATGGCTGTACAGACATTGCTTCAGTTGAGGTAGATGGGGTAGATAGAACAGGCTTTATGGTTAGCATTGCTTCTGCAGAGAAGGGAATGGGGGCTCAGAGAGGTTGAATGAATTGTTTCAGGTCAAATGGCCAGTGGATGACAGAGGTGACTGTAGGGGTGTGAGGTGGGAGCTACAGTGCAAGAGATGAGCTTGCGCACTCTTTGAGGAGCTTGGATTAAACAGAAAACTAAGCTTAGCATTATACCGGGATCTCCTCACATTTCAAACGTAGGTCTACGTGTAAGTTGTAGGGGGTTGCAAAGATAAACCACAAAGAGGCCTGCTGAGATGTGGAAATAAGGAGTTTTGTAAGGACCCTGACATTATCTAGCTGGTTACCTTGGGTGCAAAATTAATCTCTGATCGTCATTGTCAAGTGGATCTGAAAATAGTCCATGTACTCAAGTCACAGAACTGCCTTTAGTACAAATTACATCACTGGGCTACTTTGTAAATCCGAAAATGCTGTCAAAATGTGGGATAGTGTGTTATGTGTAGTTCACGTAATTTACTGTTTCTTTAAGTCACCAGATTAATGTTAACTAAAAATACAAATTATATAATGAAGGCCCTAGTTACTTGGCTAAGAAAAATCCACATGATTGATAGAGGGGTTTACTTTATTTTTCTTCCATTAGTCATTATTACCCTCACTTGCTCACTTGACAGGCGTTTACCGATTCCCCGGAATGTGCCAGGGAGCGTGCTGTGTTTCAGGAAATAAAGATGGGAATGGTGCTATGTTAGCATGTGCTGCTTCTTCTGTTGGGAATGTAAATTGGTATAGTCTACTTTAAACATTTTTTTTTTCAACGTTTATTTATTTTTGGGACAGAGAGAGACAGAGCATGAACGGGGGAGGGGCAGAGAGAGAGAGGGAGACACAGAATCGGAAACAGACTCCAGGCTCTGAGCCATCAGCCCAGAGCCTGACGCGGGGCTCGAACTCACGGACCGCGAGATCGTGACCTAGCTGAAGTCGGACGCTCAACCGACTGCGCCACCCAGGCGCCCCTGGTATAGTCTACTTTAAAAAAGATAGTTTGAAAATTGGGGGGGTGGACAGTTTCTATTATTTTGATCCAGTAATTATACTTGTAGAAGTATATTCTAAGGCAGTAATGAAAGGTGCAGACTAGAGCAGCCATGCACAGGAGTGTAGGCTGAGGGTGCCTGGCTGAGGGGTGAGTGCTGGTGACAACCTACCCTGGGCTGTCCTTGCCAGGCCCTCCCTGCTGAAGAAAGCCTGTCCGTACGGAATCATAAATTATTAGACAAACACTAGGGAGTAAGTTATCCCTACAGTGGAGTATTACGAATTTTGGATTGATCATTAATAAGGTGGGTATCATGTGAAAATAGCCAGAGTATATATCAAAGTATGGGAAAACAAATTACAAAACTGGAATGTAAGATTGAAGCCAGTTTTTGACATACCTAATACTTTCTGCTAAGTTGGGACTGATGGAGTTAGCTCTGTTTTGAAGACTAGAAAGAACAAGACGTGTTTGATAAGAACATGGTGCTATGGATGACTTTTTAATTCTTTCCAGGGATACCATATTATGATTTCATAATGTAAGATAGAAGAATTAGACACTGAATTTCAATAGAATTTTTCTAGTTTGACACTAATGTTAAAATATTGCATTTTTATTGCTTTTTAGTAGTATTTCTAGTAGTAAAAGCTGTAGTGTATATGAGAAGATGCATTTTGAGACATGAGACATATATCTTTTTATATAAATATAAATATAAATATAAATATAAATATAAATATAAGCACACACACACAAGTGGGGAGGAAGAGAGTGGATGGGGGGAGAGAAATTGATTGATTTAAAACTGGAATAAAATTAAAGGCCACTCCCCTTACAGACCAAGCCCATAGAAATTCTGAGTTGTGCCACATTTCATTTAAGGCCCTATGAGTGAGTGAACCCCTTTTCTGTTCAAATGTACGGCATTGCATGCAAAGGAAGCTTGGCCCAGGGCTACACTGATTACACACCGGCACGGAATGGGTGCAGGTAAGAACAGGAAGGCGTGGCCCCTCTTGAGTATAATTCCGAATGAAGAAAAAAAAAAGTCAACTATGCCTACTAAGCTGGCTTAACGGAATGCCAGTGAAAATTTGCCTCATGAAATGGAAATTCTGAAGCACGTTACATAATGCTGAGTGAAAATAAATAGGACTTTCAAGATACATCCAAGTGGCGCAAACGGTTTATTGTAATCAGAACCTTCTAATCCAGCAATACTGAATTATATTAGGTGAGATCCACATGATCCTGGGGGTATGCGAGCTTTTAAGAAGCAGCATGTATCAGATCAGTTTTTAAAAAGTTACTTGGGTATTAACCAACATGAAGGCACCAGAAAGTATTCATATTAATTATGCTGCGTATTTATACCAACTGTAAAGAGGAAAAAAAAAAAGATCATTTCCTCTGGAAAACAGCATTACTTTAGAAATCTCTTGATTGCTAAGAATAAGGGAGCAAAGTACTCCAGTGGGGAGTATTTGTGACTTCTTTCATACATTAAATTTGCTTTTAAACCAATTCCCGCCATTTTCTCCTCACCTTTCTGTCTCTGTTACCTCCCTTTCTTTTTCTTCCCTTCCTTTCTTATCTTTATCCAGATCTTCATTATCTTGTGCCCAGGAGCTGTCCTAGTTGGAGGTCCCGCTCCTATCCCCTCGTCTCTCCACTTTGCCCTTTACGTGGCTGGTAAAGAACAAGCAGAAGACAACTAAAGACAAAAATATTCTTCACTTATGTTTTCATGATGTCATTCACTAATCAAGAGTGTAAAGAATTGTGGAATAAGTGTTTCACCTCCAGTGGAAGGATGTCCTCAACATGTGGAACTGACTCTCATGATTTGTTTCTGTATTCTTCTTGCAGGATCAATGTGACTCTGGAGACAAATGGATGAATGAATACCCATATGAAGAGGAAAACAATAAAGGTTGGTTGGTCACATTTTCTAACTCTGGTGAAAATCTTCTGTTGCACATTACTTTGGGGCAGTGATTCTCATTAGAGCACTTCTGCGTCTGTGTAGGAGACAGAGGTCAATACTCTGATCCGTACATCTGTCTGTAAAGTGTAATTTTTAATTTTTAAACCCTTAAATATTAAGACCTTTGTAAGGAGGCAACCCTCTTTTGTGCAAGTGTGGCTGTCATCAGTTTCTAGGACTTAAGCTGGAATGAGAGAGTCAGCTTGTTGATGAATATTAAGAAATGGAGGACCACTGAATACAACTACTCACTGGGACAGAGAAAAACCAAAGAAGCCAGAGTCTCTGTAACATACATTGGTTCCTACGAGCGTAATCCTGATACCAGCGCCATGTGGCATAGTATTGATTGCTGTCATATGTTGTCCTCTTGCCAGCCCGTCAGCTTTGCTCAGAGGAGGGGGATGATTAGGAAAGTCTTCTCACTTTGGTTCCTTACAGACAGGTGCCACACTAAACTAGAGGGGAAAGAAAAAATCTTGTGAATTTCAACAGTAATCAACTGCTGGCCATCACTTTTTGTGTGGCATTTACTTGAGCTTTTCTCAGACTTCAGGCTAGTCGTAATATAAAAATCATAGGTGATACAAAGAAAAGTACAGTATGTTCAACGATCTCCATTTCGTAAGGTTTTTATACTGAACAGGTTTGGTACACAGACATGTGTCTCATAACCCTTGGATAGCTGCACAACACCTGCAGTTTCATATTTTCCTTTCTCCACGGCTCCTGCTCTTGTCAAGTCTGTGTATATCATGCCATGTCTTTTTCTGCCAGCCTACCCTCACAGTTGCTTCCAAATGATTTTCCAGGTTATATGTTTCATTTAATGTTCCCTTCTTCCCTCGTCGTGGCTAAAATTGCTCCTTTCTAGTATTTGTATCTGGAAGATTTGCAGACACCTAGAGGGAGTATTGATTCACGGATGATACAAGGGAGACTTCTGGTTTTATGGTGATGTTCTTTTTCTTGACCCTAGTATTGCCTACATGGGAGAATTTACTTTGTGAGAATTAATCGTACTGTGTGTTTATTTCTGTGTGGATCAGTGAGGTTCTGTTAAAGGGGCTCTGGGTGGTGGGGTGTGGAGGTCCAATCTGTAGTGCTTGTCAATTCCCATTGTGGCTGGTTTCAGTGATTTAATAACCAGCCTGCAAGGATCCTTAAAATTTAACAATTGGTACTCTTTTTAAAAAAAATGTTTTCTTAACATTTATTTATTGTTGAGAGACAGAGAGAGAGCACAAGCAGGGGAGGAGCAGAGAGAGAGGGAGACACAGAATCCAAAGCAGGCTCCAGGCTCTGAGCTGTCAGCACAGAGCCCGACAAGGGGCTCAAACTCACAGACCGTGAGATTCATGCCCTGAGCTGAAGTCAGCTGCCTGACCAACTGAGCCACTCAGGCGCCCCTAACAATTGGTACTCTTGAGCTGGGCATCAACTAACACCAGCACACCTTTGATAATTCCATTTGTAATTAATATTATGTGCCCCTTAAGACCAGTGGGGCAGAGGTAGTAAATTTAAATTGTCCTGTCTCATCCCTAGGTAAACATGGAAACCTTCTTCACTCATTATCATGCCAGATGTATTTATCCCTTTTATATGATGTTGATATCCTATCACTTTATGTTTTCATTTGATGGTTATTAAATTTTTATATTTGAATGGATCAGTATTAACTTTGTGAGTTTATACATTTTGACAGTGTCATTGTTCTGTAACTAATTTTATGACAACTAAAGATGATGGCAAAGAGAATCATTGTGTTGCTACTTACCCTGAGGATAAACTCTGAAAATATCATCTTGATTGACTATAACTTATGTGATTCATTCTAAATGATTGTGCCTCTTAGCTTATAAAAGTCTTATTCAAAAGTCTGTATAGGGGAGGGAGCAATGAGTATTTCACTTAATGTGTTTGTCACAAAGAATTCTTTTTTTTTTTTAAGTTTATTTATTTATTTTGAGAGAGACAGAATGCAAGCGAGGGAGGGGCAGAGAAAGAGGGAGAATCTCAAGCAGCCTCTGAGCTGTCAGTGCAGAGCCTATGTGGGGCTCAAACTCACAAAACCGTGAGATCATGACCTGAGCTGAAATCAAGAGCCAGACAGACACTTGCCTACTAAGCCACCGAGGTGCCCCAAGGATTATTTTTTTCTTATTACTGTTTTTCATATTTTTGATCTGTATTTTCAGTTACAGATGCCTTAGAACGGAGAATACATTGGTGCTTCTTTTTAAGCCTGCTTAAATCGGATGCTGTTAGTTTTAACAAAGTCTGATTCTGGGAGAAAATTGCAGAGTTTGAAAATTTTTATATACTTTAGGTGTATTGACAAGGTCACTATTAAGAGGAAGTTTTAAAATGTCAGCAGTGGAAGAAACATCGCCACTGTCTAATAATTGAAAAGAGATTTGAATGTGGCTCTTAAAACTATATAGTACATTTCTGTTTTGCCAGTGGTGATAAAATCTTGCCAAGAGCCACAGAATATCATGTTGTGCCTTTCTGCCTAGGTTCTAATATTTAAATGGCCTAAATAGCATTTGCAGAATTCCTTTTGTGGCCACACCGAGAGTTTTATTTTCAGGAACAGATGAAGATCTTCTCTTTCCTTAGAAAATAGATATATTTGCATGAAGTTTTTTCCTTTACTCAGTTTTTAAGTTCTTTTATTCAGTTTCATTGCACTTGATTTTGTCCCCTTACCATCTGTCATTATTAAACTTCAAATAAATTCAGAAAAGATCTCATCCTCCATTATTTCCTGCTCACCAGTATTTTGGCATAAAATATGGTATATGTGCTCTTGAATGTATTTCAGCAGTTGCTGTCCTTGTGAATGAGGTGGCTTGTTTGTGGACCCATCTCCACAAACCTGGCACTGCTCCATTTGTTTTCCAGCCGCTTCAATATGTTTACCAAGTGCTTCTCAGCTGCTGGTGTAGAGCAGGTGTCCAAAACATGCATGCATATACGTTAGCCCAGCTCATCAGAGTTCACAGTAAAACTTTTGCTCTGTGCCTACCTCTGATGAACAGCTGCTTAAACCATCCAGCATTTGTAGTGGATGACTTTTACTTCTTCTATTTGGAAACTGTGAGGACAATAGCAAGCTTTTCTGAGAAAGCTTTAATTTCCTACAAAAAAAGTTTATAACATAGTGATGGGCGTATGTAGCGTGGTTGTTTTAAATTTCTTTTCTGTGACGTTCCGAGGCTCTTTCCTCACACAGGATAGAAGAGATAGCAGCAACCTAGTCTTTATTCCCTGTTGAACTAAGTAGGCATAGTTGCTCAGAAAGCTCTAGGTAATGTAAATGTAAACATGTGGTCAGCACTGGGCTCCTCTACGTGTATGTAGAGTGGCTGCCTGGGCAATAAACGTGGAATAAAATAAACAAACAAAACAAAGAAAAACAAGTCTTGGCTCTGCAGTGTGTATGATCATGGACCAGTGACGTCTTTCTGAATTTTAATTTTCTCAACTGCATACTGGAACTAAGAACACGTGTCCTATGTCAAGAGTTGTTATGGGGGGTACCTAAATATGACATATTCGTGAAAATGATTTAAAGGATAGAGTTGTAAATGTGAGTGTGATGCTGATACTATAATTTCTGTAGCAGAAGACAGAGGTTCACAGCTTTGTTGTATGACATCACACCACAAAGGCAAACATTTTCAGAACTGAAATGCCCTCAAAGCTCACTAACTCTTAATGTGTGACTGGTGTGTGATCACCTTCTAGAAGAGTTGGTTGGTTACTTCAACCTCACATTGAGCACACTTTGGAATTTCTTACTGTATGAAGCAGTTAATCTATTTCCAGACATATATAATTATATTTCAAGTTCTTCCTCTTATTGAGCCAAATCAGTAGATTTGATAATGACCAAAACTATTAGTTATATCACATATTTATTAAAATATCATCCTGAATTGGGTCACTGTTTCATCAAATCCTTTCACCTTTGCATGTTTAATTTCTCTTATCTGGGAAATGAGAACAAAATGAATGATATACAAGGATGGGAGAAATATCATGCAATTATTGAAGTAGAATAATGGCTTTATGATTTGAAAAGATGATGCATTGCTCATTTTTAAAACATTAAAGCAGGCAGAGCCCCATCACCTCCTTGCCTCATACCTTTTACATATGGCGAACATTATTTACTTCTCTGTGTGCATATAGACAAGTAAAAGTAAATACAAGAGAT